CCTCAATCTGATCAAGACCTTGGATTACAAACCCCTTCAGAGCCCCCGAGGCAGCCGACTACCTATTCCTGTCAAGTCCAGCTTGCCTCCTCCCAAGCTCAGCCGTGACTTGGCAGATGGCAGTGCTAGTTCTGCCTTCCTCAACACAGACAGAAAATCGTTTTCCAGAGCTCCTTTGGGTCTTTCCCTGGAGATTTCTGAGCTGCAGGAGCTGTGGGACGACCTCTGTGAGGATTATATGCCACTGCGGGTACAGGTAGAGGTCATGGTGCCGCCGTTCGATTGAGCAGCGCCCGCGTGGTGCAACGCTGAGCCCACTGGGGATTCTTGTGTGCTGAGATAATACAGATAGCCACGTGTCGCTGAGGCAGGGCTAAGAATAGGTGGCTAGGGCCTTTTTAGGTGTGCTGCCTCTCTCCTCTGTCATTCTCCTGTCTCCTGTTTCCTCCTTGTGTTCTGGGAAATTAACCTTCCCCCCTCCATCAGCCCTCCCTGACAATGCAGCCTAGATGGGTCTAAGCTCTTTGTCATTTCCCTACTGAGAAAACGCCAGTTTCACTCAGCTTACGCTTTGAGAAGTCGGTGTGACTTTTATCACAAACCAAAGCGAGTGTTTTAGGCTTCTGGGCATGTGTTTTCCAGCAAATGTGTTTTCTTTGTGCCTGAGTAAGGGTTGAGAGTGAGGAATGCCTGCTTTCAGCACTGCCTCCGCAGGTCAGGCCGCCGACGTGCCTAATGTGCAGATCCGCCCTGTGCCCCGAGGAAAAGGTGTTTTCCTTGCAGGTGGATTTGTGCCAGAGGATGACTTTAGGGTTGGTATTCAGCTAATTGGTTTATATTCTGATCCTTTGAAAAGATTCATCAATTAGTGGCAGGTGTCCCTGTGAAAGCTTTTGCCTCGTGAGACATCCTGGTGCTGTTTATCTCCCTTGATAGTAGCCCTGGCTCCAGGTTGCCTCTTTTTTGCTGGCTGTAATGAAATCTTCATTAGTATGCGGTCAAAAAGCTGAACTTGTAACTTCTTTACCACTTTCCGTAATGAATAGAAGACCTCAGTCAGCTTCAATTGAAGAATATCCATGTCAGCCTAATTGCATTCCCATTAGCAGCCTTAGTGCCGCCTAATGCAGTAGGTAGCCTGGGGGATTAGGAAAATGCTCGTTTATTACTATGGCAACTGTGGCAGGGCTGAATTGCCGGCGCTGCTTGCTGCCCCATCTGCTCGGGCGTTTCCCGGGGCTGAGTGCTTTTTCCATAAAAGCCTGCTCTCGGAGCGATGCTAGGGTGGAGTGTAGGAAAAGTCATTTTCCTCTGGAGCACAAAGGCATCGCGCTGGCAGCCAGCGGCTGACGATGTGAAGCAGAGTGTCAATGCTGCTCCTGTACTCGGCGTCTCTTGCTAGTAATTCTCACTGCTAGGGATGCGTTGGCAGCATAAAAATAGGCTTTCCCTGAACAGAACGTGGCACAGCCAACGTGGCGTGTTTACAGCTTGGCTTTGTGTCACACATGGCCATCATCGTCTGGGAACTGTGTTTGAGGAGCTTCTCCAGCCACCAGCCTCTGCCATCCGACCGTTCCTGCCAGGAATTCATCCTGAGAGATCTTTTTACTGCCCGTTTCTTGCCATGACAGCAGCAGGTCTTCGGCTCGGGTTCTGGCTGAAGGGGGAAGGGCTTAATCGTTCGGATGGCTTTAATAGCAAAACCGGGAAGGCAGATGCAGCTAGTAGGACAAACAGGTCTTGTGTAAAGGATTTTTATTTTTCTTTGTAAAAACAACACTTTCTAAAAGTCAGGTGCAGCTGTCCTGCAATTCATTTGCAGAAGTGTGAAAGAAATATATAGGATATATAGTGCCACAGTTCCCTTATTGCTATTGGGAAACTGCAGTTCTTTAAATTTACTCAGCAGTCTGGTGTCAGTGCATGTTACCTTGTAGGTACTGTCTTTCTTCTTGGGCTTTTCCTTGAACCAGCATTTCCTCCCCTTCCCCACCGCAGGTCCAGGAAAGCGTCAGCAAACAGAGCCTTTGTCAGACGCTCCTGCAGCTGCCTGCGGTGCCGTGCTGGCAGCCAGGGAGGCAGTGCCCTGCTGACAGCCAGCCTGCCCTTACCCACTGTTCTGGGCACATCTGAGCTTGGCAGGCTTAGATAATGCTGTGATTATTATTTTATAAAGAAGTGTTCTGTCTGGGTCAGTGTGTGCTGGAGCTGTGCTGAGGAGAGATTGTCAGGGAATGCTGATGTGGGAGAAGCTGCTGGGGACCTGTGCTCCTGACATGGCTGCAGGGAAGCACAAGGGAGGCAGCTTGGGCTTTGGTACTTTGGACTTTGGAGCTGGCTCTGCCTTTCCCCTTCCTACTCGTAGCTCTTTCTAGGCTTTCTGCCTTTTATTTATATTTTTTCATATTGCAAATTGTGAGGAAATGTGTTTTCCTTTTCGTTTTCTGTTTTCTTTTCATCACTCTTATTTCAAAATAGCTGCAGTGTGACAGATTCCCAGTGCCTCTCCCTGTTTGATCCAAAGCCTTCTGGCTAGGAAACCTTGAAAATACTTTCTGTGACTTCTGAAGTTTTCACTAAGGTCATAAGAAAATGTCAGGGTAGAGGTTAGCATTGCTTCTGTATGGAAGCTTCTGTGCACAGACCTTGAGGAGCTTCCCTGCACTGCCTGGCACTCCCACAGGCAGTGTTTCTGTGGCTGCTGACGATGAGGATTCAGTGTGACAAGGCTAATCAGAGCTGACTGTTATCACTGTGCTGCACTGCCTGAAGCTGGTGCTTCTGTGTGTGCACCAGAAAGCCTTGCCATGTTCTCACAGCCTCTGTGCTGCAATCCCACACTTGCCAGGGCTCCCACTTAGAGCAGGCACCAGTGCACTCAATTCCTTGTCACTGATGATACTCAGGAATACTGAATGAGCCCTGTGAGGCTGGGGTGTGGGTGGCTGGGATTGAGTGCTGCCCTAAGGAGTTAACTCACTGGGCGGGAAGCAGCAAAACAGTAAGAAGGGATGACAGGGGATTAGTGTGTGCTCAGCCAGCTGGGTCTGGCAGGCCACGTGTCACAAAGTAGGCTGTTTACGTTCCCAATAAATGGGTATGTGTCATGGAAGAAAATCTCAGCTGTGGCAATGAGTTTGTTACTGTTTGAGGAGCTGCAGGGAGTTAGTTGTACACAGTGTGGGTGCTGGAGCATGGGGAGCTGTGAAGGAGAGCCCAGAGGATGCCAAGTGGAGGGGCTCAGAGCAGGGAATGGTTGCTAGGTTGTGGCAGGAGGTGAGCTGGTGGGAAGGATCGGAGGTTGTGTCTTCATGAACACACAGAAGCCTGGCAGAACATGGCAGCCAGTTTAGTGCTGGTTTTGAAGCCTCTTTCTGAACTGCCAGCAGGGCATATGGGAAGAAGAGCTTTCAGGAATGTGGCTTGTGTGTGGGGAGAAGACCCATCAGCAGCCTGCAGACAGTGGTTAGAGCCAAACAAGCTGCTGGATTCATGGTATGGTAGTCAGAAGAGACAAGGAGCCTAAGCAGAGCCTCAGGGCAGTAGAGCCCTTGTGGCAGGTCAGGCAGAGAGCTGCCAGGTGCTGTCCTGCCACCCAGGTGAAGAGAGGCATGGGCAGAAAAATGTATCAGAGACAGTTAGGAAAGCAAAATGGGGCATGTTTAAGCCCATGCTGCAAGGTCAAACAGCTGAATAGAAGAAGCCAGTGCAAGAGTTGAGCCATTTTCTCATTTTTTATTCTTTTTTTTCTTTCAGAATGTGCCGGATGAACACCAGCAGGCAGCTCCAGGTGACCCTGCAGCAGGGGAGCACGTGTCAGATCTGCGTGCTGCAGAGCTGCAGGGCAAAATCCAGCAGTTTGAAGCTGCCAACAAGGTATTTCTTCATGAGCAACACATTCAGTGCCCAGTGAGTCTGATGTGGTTAGTTTTGGAGGGTGCCTCCTGGCCTGGCTGAAGGCAGACATCTGCACCTCCCTTCCAGCAGGGGTGTGTGCTGACGTGGGATTCTCAGTGCTGTTGTCTGCCAGCTTGAGTTAAAAGCATTTACTTTTTCTGCAGCTGGGCTGTGTAAGTTTTCCAAACTTATTTTTGCAAATCATGATTTTGGTAGAACTTAGCACTTGCCTGGTGAACCTTTCATGAGCTGGTGAAGGAGATATGCACAGGGCTATTTCCCTGTCTCTTGGATTTGCATGGGCTGAGCCTGGTGCAGGAGAGGAGGGGTGAAGGCTGCCTTGTCTTTTCAAGCAGTAAGGGAGATCAGCACAGTGGGAGTCCTGGTTTCATTTAAATTTAAGTACTTCTTAGGAAAGAGACATGAATCTGAGTTCTCTTGAGGCAGATCCACTTTTAACCCTTGTTGAGAGGGGGTATATGTTCATAATTATGCTCTTGAACTCTAAGGTAAATTGTGCCCTCTGGGAAAACAAAGGAGTTAAATGGGAAAAAGGCATTGGGATGTGATATTTATTTAAATCTAGGGACAGCTATAAGCTGTTGGAGCTGCCTGAACCACAAAGGATGACTCAAGGCCCAGTTAATGCAGTTGGAAGTGTTTAAACAGATTAGGGGGAGTGTTTCTTAGAGAAGAGATAACAGGAGAGGTGTGTAAACTAACAAGCAATAAGAGGAAATTATGTGGCAGTACCAGCTCCTTAAGAAACTGAGGCTTGTGTAAGCTCTGAGGAAGAGGTATATCATCCAGCATTAAGAATGCCAACAGGCAGCAAGCACTTGTTTAACTGCACAATGTTTGCTGTGTCGTGAACGTTATGGTGAAAGCAGCAAAGTGTGCTGAAACTGTTTGAGTGGGTGGGTAGTCTCTTTAGGGTGAGAATGTCATAGGCAAAAGTTTCTCAGGTTGTAAACCAGCCACTGAGACTAGTGAGAGGTTCCCCTTTGCTTTGCAGCCAACACAGCCAACAGCATGTTGGTGTGCTGGCATTGGTGTGCTGAGGCCACAACTTGATGCTAAATAAGTCACTGATCTGATCAGTGAATGTGTAGCATCTCTGTGTTGATATTTTTATTTCAGATGGGGTTTTTTTGGGGAGGGTTTGGGGCTGAAACAGCCTCTCTCCTTTAAAGGGCGCAGAAACAAATGATAGAAACTGGGCAGCCTGAGCAAGACTCTCCTGGAGTATATGGGAATCAGTATTTTATGTGAACCCAAGCCTGGAACCTCTGCCCTGCACGTGAGGGCTGCATTGGAGGGACCAAAAGCACTGGAATGAGGGATTTTGTGTTTACTTACTGGTTTCCACCCAGCTCCAGCAGTGTTTACTGACTCTAGAGGGAGCCACGTTGATGTTGATCTGGTCAACATCTAGGCTCTGTGGACTTGAGTAAGGAGTGAAGGGAGTCCTGAGGGTGTTTATGTAGAGCATTAGGCAGGATTAAAAAAGTCAACCTATTTATGTCCTCAGTCGTTACAGGAAAAGCTGAACGAACTGAATTTTGAATTAAAATCTGTCCAAGAAACATCACAGAGGCAAGTTCGTACAATCCAGAGTCTGAACGAGGCCCTGAAGAGCAAAGAGAGTAAGGTAATAGTTCTGGGTGGGCAGGGTGGTGCCCTCCAAAAGAAGGAGGTGTCCTGGTCCTGTAGGCAGTGACTGAAAAGGAATGCTTAAGCCATTGCTAGGCATCCTGGGTCTCAGTAAATTGTTTCTTGCAAAGCTCTTTCATGTGATGTTGATGTGTGTCATAATCCAGGCTGGAGGCTTGGGATGGGAGCATTTGTGCTTGGTTTGCCACTGACTGGGCTTCCTGTCCTCTGACTTGTAGGCAGAAGAGCTGTACCATATAATTGAAGGGCAGAACGAGACAATGGCCAAGCTGCGGGACATGTTACACCGAAACCATCTGGGACCGATGCAGGTATGTCCCTGGAAAGCCTCAGATCCATCAGGTTTTATTCTGCACGGATCCTGACTTTTAAATCACTCACATGAAGAGAATCTCTGAGTTCTCTGATTCCTGTTTCTGTTAGATGTCAGAGAGCCTACTGTCACCCCAAGAGCAGCAAATGTCACCACTAGATCTTCAGAACACACTTTTCTGCACCAAGCTGGAGATGCAGAAACTGAAGAGAGCTCAGCGCCAGAAAGAGCATCAACTGGCTGAAGCCAGGAGAACAACCCAGCTCTTAGAGACCACAGTGCATGAGGAAGAGCAGCAGAAAGAGGCAACCTGGAAACACAATCAGGTATGACAGCCTGGGTTTACACAGCCTAAGAAGCACTGATGTAGTCAATACTCCACTCTCATTCATCATTTCTGCCCATGCCAAACTGGGCACACTTGACTAACCCTTGTCACATGTGACAGGGAGAATTCTTCAGCCTCCTTAGCTTCATATCTCAGGATTTAGAATCAGCAAAGACACTTGATAGTGGATTTGTTGTCACTTGTATGTCTTTGGCTGGTACAAATGTCCCATCTCGTCTTGCCGTGTTACAAAGTTAGTGTCCCCTGCTGCACAGGTGAGCTATGATTGACAGAAGCTCTGCCTATGGCTAGAGCAAGGGATTTAGATGGATGGATACCCTGGGAAATGAAACAAGCTCAAAGTTCATCACTATGGAAGTGTGTTTTGAGATATGAAAGTTGTTGTATTGCGGAGCATTTTTAGCTGTTTCCTCAGCCCGTGCTGCTCTTAGCTTCCTCAGACTGGGCTGCTGCTGACAGGTGTGTTGAGGACTGAATCCCAAGGTATGTGCTTTTTTTCTTGCAGGAACTGCGTGCTGTGGTACAACAGCTGCAGGCAGAGCTGCAGGACAAGGCTCAGCAGCTCCAGACTGTGGAGTGGGAGAAATGCCGTGAGCTGCAGGCCCAGGAGCAGCGAGTTCAGCGTTTGAGCCAGCAGCTGGCTCGCAAGGAGCAGCTTCTGCAGGTCAGATGCAGAAAGATTTGAGTTGAGCATAATTAGCCAGGGGCCCTACCCATCATTTGGTATTTGGCCATGCAAAAATCTGTCTGTAGCTTTCATGCATGTCCTTTTAAGAAGGGAAGGAAAGAGTTTCTTCTGGCCTCCCCAGATGAGGAATGAGGCACAGGTATCTGAGTGCATCAGCCCACAGCAATGCCTGGTGAGCTCTGGCAGGTGCTGCTTAGCCAGACCCTGGTGCTGTGACTACCACCCTTTAGTGTGGAGGGTAGAGCAAACTTAGGGCTAGTTAGGGTAGTTTTCCCTGATTCTTCTGTGCTACTCTCAGAGGGTTTCTGTACTGATAGTTGTACTAGAGGGTTATGTGTGTGTGTGATCTCTAGGAATCCAGGGAGCTTCTACAATGCCAGCAAAGCTTGGACAAGAGCCCTGCAGCCATGAATGCCATGTTGGAGAAACTGCAGCAGCGAGTCAGCGACAGGGATGCTGCTCTGGAGGTGAGCATAGATTGTAGGCCATGTCTCAGTTGTCCTCTGGAAGGGAGAGCTGTGATCCCCTACACAGGGAGTGGTGGCTGCAGAGCCTTCCCTCCCCATTCTGAGCAATGCCCCCCTCTCACACAGCGAGCAGTAGATGAGAAGTTCTGTGCCCTGGAGAAGAAGGAGCAAGAGCTGCAGCAGCTCCGTCTCTCAATACGGGAGCGTGGAAATGACCTGGAGAGGCTGCGCAATGTCCTCTCCAGCAACGAGACCACCATTCATGTGAGTGCTTGTACCTGGGCTTGCAGAGTCCAGCCTGGCTGAGGGGTGGTGCTAGACAGACCTGCCTGTGAATGCTCTACTTACTATGTGGGAGAGCAGCTACAGGTGTTTGCCTTCCTCTGGCCCTGTGTGTGGGGCAAGTTCCTAGATCAGTCTTGTTTCTGGGCTGGGGGTAGGGGATACCTGGAGCCAGATGGATGAATCTATGTGAGACTGGTATTTCCAGTTCCGCTTAATTCAGGATTAAGTCTCTGTCCTTGTTTGAAGCTGCTTCTGTTGTGGTCTTCAGAGCCTGGAGAGCCTCCTGAAAGCCAAAACCCTGGAACTGGAGCAGGTCTCAGCAACCTGCCAAAATCTTCGCTGGCTCAAGGAGGAGATTGAAGCCAAATCCTGCAGCAGGCAGAAGGAGCAGGAGGGGATCATCCAGCAGCTGCAGACCTGCCTGCATGACAGGAACAAGGAAGTGGAGGTAAGGCCTGAGCTTGGCTTCCTGAGCCTTCAGCCAGTTTGTCTGCAGAGAGAGTGGTCCCAAACCACTGCTGCTGGCTGCCTGCCTCTGAGGGAGGGCACCTGAAGCTCTCTGTTCAGTGCTCTGGGAGCTTTTGGCTCCTATACATACCTGTGGTTACTGAGATGCTGCTTTCTCAGCTACACCCAGGCTGAAGAGCTGTTTGTTCTTGAAGAACTTTCAGTTTGATGGTGGCAATGCCTCTCCATCTCTCCCTTCCTTCTACTTGTTCAGGAGCTTACAGCAACTCTGCTGTGCAAGCTGGGCCCAGGGCAGAGTGAGGTAGCAGAGGAGCTGTGCTTGCGTCTCCAGCACAAGGAGAAGATGCTGCAGGATCTCCTCAGCGACCGGAACCGTCAGACCACGGAGCATGATGCTGAAATCCGAGAGCTACTGCAGGCCATGAGCACCAAAGAGCAGCAGAGCAGAGTGAGTGGAGTGCAGTGCTGTGGTGAGGAGGCTGGGCTGGGTGGCTCTGCCGTGTGTTGAGCAAAGAAAAGCCTCTGAGTGGGTTGAGAGAAACAGAGGAGCTTGTTCCTCTGCAGGTAGAGAGGCTGAGCCTTGCTGCCACTGCCTGGCAAGTAGAAATGGGAGGGCTGCAGTGGTGTTGCTGTGAGTGGCTAGGAGGTGTAGCTCCCAGGCTGGTTTGCAGAGCCATTTGAGTCTCAAGTACAGATAAATATTGAGATGGTTTCCTTTAGGGAATGAGAGAGACAGGGATCCTACCCCTGGTCATGGCCCTTCCTTCCCTTATTTCTCCCACTCAATCAGGTGGCTGCTGAGAAGATGGCACACGCTTTGGCTGAAAGGAGCTGCGAGCTACAACTCCTGCGCCAGCACGTGCTGGGGAAGGAGCCTGTGGGGACCCAGTCAGCCGGGGCCAGGCTGTTGAAGCAGGACAAACAGCCCATACAAGTAAGAATCATGCACTGCTTGTCTGCACGTGGCCTCAGGGCTCCAGAGAGAGCTGATTGCCACAGAAGGAAACTGGGAGAGAGAGCAGCACCACAGAGAACGATAGAAGTGAAAGTGGGATTAGGGAAGAGACTTCCTATAGGGGGAAGAGAAGAAACTGAGGAGCAGAAATGCTGCCTGAATGTTTTGATGTTGATTTCACCAGCCTTTGTCACTCAGTGTGGCTTTTTGTTTTGGTCAGGCAGTATTTGAGTCCTGAGGGAATGTGAGAGTATGAAAGACATCCACCCTCTGACCTTCCAGCATTGACCCAGTCCTTCCTTGGACTGGGCTGCCTCACTGTATTGTAATCCCCTCCCTGACATTGTCACATTCTGGAGGGGACAAGAGAGCTAAATTTAGGTCCCACTAATTCTTGGCAGAGCCTGCTGGCTGTTTGCTGTCTCTTCCACAATTGGAGTTGGTATTTTTAAAGCAGCTTTGCTAAAACCCCCTTTGAGCCTGAACACAAGTCCCAGGCTACATGTGCCAAGCTCCTACTTGAGCAGCTGTTAATGGTTTGTTGGTGAGCTGACACATCGGGTGTTTTTAAGCAGCTGTAAACAGGTTTCTATTCTCAGGATAAAAGTGAGCTCTAGAGACTTCCAGGGTTGTGTATATGGGTTTTACTTCCTGCATGGTCCTTCTGGGCCACATCAGATGAAGATGTAGGTCTTTGTAGAGTCTGAGTAGAAAGATGGGCTTGTTGCAGTTGAGTGAAACTTGTTCAATCCTTGTTATGAAGACACTTGCTGCCAGCAACCTCCCAGTACCAAATAAAACAAGGCCTGTGCCCTGTTGCCCACACAATACAGCTTCAGGGTGCAATTCCCTTGTCCCTGCTGCCTGCCTAGATCCCCTTCATTGGTTTCTCCCATTTCAGAGGTGTCAGCAAAGCAGCCAGCAGATTTGCTGTAATCCTGGAGCTCTGGGGAAGCTGCATTTTCCCCATAAAGGTGCAAACCTGGAGGCTTTTGTGTTTTCAGGGAGTACTACAAAGAGCTTGTGGAGCTACAGCCACTGCCGGACCCCCTCAGGGGGACAGCAGCTTCAGGACAGAGGGAGGTGAGTGTGGTGACACTTCTTTTGAGGTCCTCATGGTGGCCAGGGCTTTCTGCTGTGGGGCAAACATGGTTACATGAAACTGAGAGAGTAAAGAGCTTTGAGCAAGAGTGAGTGTTTTGAAATAAAGCTGTGTCTCTCTTTTGGGTGATGTCTGAGGATGGGAGTAAAGTGAAAGAGAAAGACTGGTGTCAAGCTTGAGGTGGGGTGCTTCTACTCAAGATCCAGTTCTGTCCAGTGAAGGGTTTCTGACTGTGTTTCAGGCTGAGCTGAGACAAGCGTAACTGGTTTGGGACCAGGACACCTGAGCTTTGTCAGGGGTAGGACAGCAGGCCTGGGATGTTGCTGTTGCTTTGGACTGCTGTTTATGGATCAAGCAAGGAAGAATAGTATTTACTAAGAGACAATGTGATGGGTAGCACAAACATCAGGGACCTGCCAAAGAGGGATTCTGTGTGACTGTGGGGTCCCAACTGACACGTGGTATCACTGCAGTAACCGAGCTGTCTTTGCAGATACAATGTCAGCAGCAGAACTGGAGAAGGATCTCGTTAATGCCAAAGAGGATCTGGAGCTGATGGCGAAGAAGGAAAGGGAAAGCAGGGTGAGCTTATGATGGAGCCTGTGCTGTCTCCCTTGATTACAGTAGGCCTTTGGGCTGCCCCAGACTGGAGGTTTTGGACTTCCCTATTGTGAGGGTACCCCCAGTGAGAGAAATGAGCCAGCAGAGAAATGGGTGTTGGCATTCTGAAGTGTCTCACGGGCTTCTCTTCCCTCGATAGCGGGAGCTCACTGCTCTCCAGTCTGTTGTGGCCACACAGGAGGAAGAGCTGCAGGTGCAGGCCTCAGACATAGAATCCTTGACCAGAACCATCCAGATCAAAGAGGACCTCATCAAGGTGAGATACTATGCTATGCTGGGTCAGTTCCACCATGCTGCAGAGGAGTCTCTTTTTTCCCCCACATCCTCAGAGCGGTGGCCGTGGATGGTATTGCTGCTGGTGTGCCTACAGCTCTCTGTGTTACTTTGGCCAGAAGGCAAACTCTTTGTATACCAAACTCTCCTTTGAGTCCTTTAATCAAAGTGCATTGTGTCCCTTCTCAATTCTTGCTGCAGGCTGTGGTCTGTGCCTATTCCATACTGCGCGCTTTGGATTTTTTTTCTTGGGAGACCTGGATCTTTACAAGCACTGGAAACTTTTGGTGGTTGCATTCCAGAGAGCTTTCTGAAGAGCCAGCTGTCCTTGTTACTGATCCCTTCTTCACTTCTCCTGCTGTTGTTTTTCAGGATCTGCAGATGCAGCTGGTGGATCCTGAAGAAATTCCAGCCATAGAAAGACTGACACAAGAAGTGCTGGTGCTTCGGGAGAAAGTGGCCATAGCAGAGTCACGAGGACAGGAGGCTACTGGAAACAGAAGGCAGCAGGTAGTGTGCCCAGTGGGGCAAGCTTGGATGTGTTTGTCTTTCCTCCTAGAGCTCATTTATTAGACTTTGTTTTCAGCTTTTGGATATGCTGAGATGTGCTTGTTCTTGGAAGCTGTCTGTGTGTGATTGGGGGAATACAGAGTTGAGGATTGGTTCCCTTTAGCACTTGTCTCAAGGGTGGAATCTTTTGGGACTCCAGGGGTGACACTGATCACCTTGTTTTCTTGGACACAAGCAAGAGAAGAAGGGGAAGCCCCTGTTCCTCTGGGACAGCCACATGCCTCCTTTGATTTGTCTCTGTTAAGTGCTGCATCTTGTCTCTTCTCTCCAACCAGTTGTTACTGATGCTGGAAGGGCTGGTGGCTGAGAGGAATCGGTTAAATGAGGCTCTCCAGGCGGAGAGGCAGCTCTATGGCAGCCTGGTAAAGTTTCACACACACCCGGACAGGTAAGTGAGGCTGCCTTGGCTCCATGCTGCCCTGCTCTGCTGCTGGGGCAAGAGTGGGTGTCCAGTGGGGCAATCCCTGAAGCAGTGGTCATTCTGAAACTCTGAGAGCCTTTGGTGGAGAAAGTCTAGGCAAAGGACCAGCCAAATGCTTCTCTGGGAGTCCAAGTTCTAGGCTGCCTTTTTCCCTTGAAGTGGCTGCAGTGACCAGACCTAAATGCTCCCAAAACTCCCCCCATTGCTGTGGGACTTCCATCTTTGTTCCCTGACTTACCCCTTCACGACTCAGTTTCCCACCCACACTTGGCCACCTTTCAGGGACTGCTGTCAAATTCCCAACCAGCTGTTGGGTTGATAAGGATCTATCGAGGTGGTGCTTATCCAGGCAGTTGTCTGTCCCCTGCACTAATCCCCTGCCCTTCACGGGGCTGCAGCCTCTGGGATATTTGAGCTACCTGATAGCAGGAGAGCACATAAATGGAGTGCTTGGGTAAGTACTGAAGAACAGCTGTGACTAGGAGTTCCTTACCAAGGCCTGGAGCCTTTTTTGGGGATGGCTGTGCTGTGGG